ACACACACACACACACACACACACACACACACACACACACACACACACTGAGTGTGGAAATATTTTCCCTCATGGTATTAGATGACAATACCATGGTCTGCCCTACTCATATATCATGACATTTAAACTGTATACAACACAGAACTTCAAAGAGTACTATGGTATTATCATAGTTCATGGTACAAAACATAGTAGTTCCTTTGACAGACTCGAGATCTCTTTAAAACAGATTAAATAACGAATTAAATGAAATATTTTACAATTCTTGTTAATGAAGGTAAACATTAATAGAGACGGTATATGAAGTTAAATCACACACGCTAACAGTTCAGTTATTTAGTTAGCAAGCGTTCAGCTAACTTGACCTCACTAATGCTCGTCGTCAATAAAACGAGTTTACTCACAGGCTAAAATACAGACCGAATAAAAATGCACTAACATACGTGTCTTTCTTTCGAATTAATATTTATGAGAAATCCGTAACTCACTCTTCACAGCTCCCTCTCTCTTGGCGCTCGTGTCTCTAGTTTGGAGTTTGAACTTGCAGCAGTTTTGTTGTCGTTGGTTGAGATGCCGCTACTTCGTATATGTGAGGAAATGAGCGCTGGCTCGCTCAACAACACAACAGCGCCACCTGTGTGGATGGGCGGAATAGATTCACTCATTCTAATTCTATATACCGCTTTCAGCGAAATTTGAATTGGTCGCACTTACACTAGCTAAAAATACTATGTACATCTATGCTGGAAAATCCAACTTAATCTTCTTGTTTATTGAACTGGTGCGTAAAATGAATAACACACAAGCACTAGTGTTGTTGAGCACGTGGAGGTCGTTCACGCTGACGCGTAACTCACGCGCTCCAATACTCTTCCGACAACACGGAAGATGTGACTCTTATGCTGGAGGATTGACACAAACTTCACACGGATCGTACAGTGATTTACTAAATTTGCAAATTTTACAATGGCCAGTTCTAGCGCGGACCCGACAACACTGTGCCTGTTTGATGTGGACGGGACTTTAACAGCAGCTCGCCAGGTGAGAGAATTAAAGCGGAAGGCGTTAGCTAGTCTTGTTAATATACAGTAGGAGATATGAATCAGGGCGGTAATGACTATTGATGCATAATAATTATTTGTGAGTTAACAACTGCCTTTAAAATCAAAACTGAGGCGTAAATGTATGAAACTGAATGATGATCTGTATAAGCATCTTGTGATCTGATTGCAGTAATCTGACTGTGTTTTTTATAAAGTCACATATGTGTTTCTAAAAATGTGTTTTTATAAAGTCAAATATGTATTTTAAATATAGTTTTGGGGTGATAATACAAAACAATCTAGTCTTCTTTGTTGGCACATCCTAAATGACAGTCATGGCTGTCTATTAAAGATAACTTTCATTCTCCATACTATTTTAGACCGCTTGTGAGGTGAAGATTGATTTTATGTATAAACACTGTAAGTCAAATATAGTTATGAACTGACCTTAAATTAAACAGATCCTGGTGAATAACACATTTTACAGTGCAAGAACATTTAAAGCGGTAGTTTGCTACCATTTTGACTCCAGGGGCCCCGTTGTCCACAACAATATTCAAAGGCCCAATGACTTTTCTGGATTTAATGAAATTATATTTAAAAAAATATTTTATCAAATGATTTCTGCCTGATATTGATGGTATAACTAAAACATGTATATTTATCATTATAAAATGCACTAGGATTTATGACATTTCTAGAAATTAAAAAAAAAAAACACACGTAAAAAATTTGACTACCTCATATATGCAGTTTTTCCAAGATGGTGAAAACATATGAATAATTTTAATAAGTCAATTAAAATGACAAATGAATGGCTTATTTTATTGCTTGTTGAAGTCATGTTGATGCCCCCTTGGAAGTGCTGAGACCCCCTGATTTAAATGACATGAAATAAAACAGTGCTTCTCAAAGTGTGGTACTCAGAGGAATCACTAAATTAAATATAAATTAATGTTAAAACACAATACATTTCAATTTAATCTCTTTTTTACATTTAAGTACAGTATACAGTTTTTATTTAACTTTTAGGTAATTTTAATTTAATAATTTAAGTTTTTAATTTACCTGTATGTAAGCACAGTGCAGTGTTAATGTTCAAACTGTATATTTACAATGTTAAAGTGGCTGACAACAACAAATATTCTTATTAGGAATAAAACTGCCTTGTTTTTGAACTGTGCAGAGCTGTATCTGAATAGTTAGGCCTACTACGCTACTGTATTTTAATGTTGGCCATTATGGTGGTACTTGGAGAGCCAAATATTTTCTGAAGTGGTACTTGGCATAAGAAGTTTGAGAACCACAAAAATAAAAGATTGTAAGGTTGCATATCAAGGCAGAAGAATAAGTATTTCTGTTTCAAAAGTTGATGTATGGAAGATTGTGATTAGTTGTGACACTTTTCACTTCCAGTGAATATTTTCTCAGGGGTACATTTACTTTTTGAAAGTCAATTTCACTATAGACAAACATTAAATCATTGCTACAGAACAGCTATTTAATTTCAATAGATAAGGGGGGGAAAAAACTGTAACACACACTTGGACCAGGGTTGCCAGGTTTTCACAACAAAACCCGCTCAATTGCTACTCAAAACTAGCCCAATCACGTTTCGAGGGGGAACCCCTGGTAAAAATCGCATTCTGGTGGGGTAAAATTCACGTTTTTGGTGGGGTTCCCCTGGTAAAATGCACATTTTAGGGTCTAAATATCACATTATTGGGGTCGCTTAAACCCGCCGACATGAAAAACAACCCGCAGCAACAGTGTTAAAGTAGCCTAATTCCACGGGAAAACCGCAGACTTGGCAACACTGACTTGGACCCTACAGCAGGGGTGTCGTTACCCAAAATTTAACTTGTAAAATAATTATGAAGAACAAAGCAATTCATGAAACCTCACATAATGGAAAAGGTAAAAAAAGAAAATCAATATATTTGCATATTACATATGTAAAGAAGAACTGGCATTTTATTATTTTGTGTTTGGAGTAAAGTAGTTACCCCTGTGTATGTTTTTGTCTTTAGAAAGCAACTCCTAACATGCATCAGTTCTTGAATGATCTCAGACAGCGAGTGAGAGTCGGGGTGGTCGGAGGATCAGACCTGGACAAAATTAAAGAACAGTTGGGTGATGATGGTGTGTAGAACAATTGCAAAACTCTGTTTAAATACATGCACGAAACATTCAGTGTATTTATAGTGTTCATGAGTACTTAAAATCTTTTATATCCTTTACAGTTATTAATAGAGTGGATTTTGTGTTTGCTGAGAACGGTTTGGTAGCATACAGGTTTGGGCAGCTGCATTCTGTGCAGGTAATTTTAATTCTCGGTTTACTATTAAATGAGATCACAAACTTGTTTAGCAAATTATATTTGTTGCTTTTCTATTTCAATATTTTTTTTCTTTTTTTTTTAATCAGAATATTCAGGCATACTTGGGAGAGGAGGTTTTACAGGATTTTATCAATTTCTGCCTCAATTACCTTTCAAAGATAAAACTGCCCAAGAAAAGGTGAGGATATCACAACATGACATCTGTAGTTGCTTGCGGAAAACATATTTTTATTGCTTTACTTTAAAGTTGGTCAATATTGATTGTGAATATTATAGTTTATTTTAAATTTCATTTAGAAAATATTTTTATTTATTGATTATTGATAATAAGAAGAAATGTTTCTTGATCAGCAAATCAGTATATTAGAATGATTTCTAAAGGATCATGTGACACTGAAGACTGGTGAAAATTCAGCTTTGATATCACAGGAATAAATTACATTTTAAAATTGTAATAACATTTTACAGCATTTCTGTTTTTGCTATATTTTTGATCAAATAAAATCTTACTGTCCCCAAACTTTATGTATATATAAACACCATCTTTTTTCTTGCAACCATAATACTTATGGTATTTTTACTTCATCTCAGAGGCACATTTATTGAATTCCGTAATGGAATGCTGAATGTCTCTCCAATTGGTCGAAGCTGCAGCCAAGAAGAAAGAATTGAATTCTTTGAACTTGATAAGGTCATTTTTTGTATTCATCAATACTAACACAAACTAAAAAAAACATGTACATCCATGCTTGAAAATCCATGCAATTATTTATATATTATATATGAATAGTTTTTCCTATATATCAAAAATCACTCGTCTTTTGAAAGAATGTCATTAAAGGTTGAGTGACTTTTTTAATGTTCTTATGCAGAAGGAGAAAATCAGAGAAAAGTTTGTCTCTGTTTTAAAGGAAGAGTTTGCTGGGAAAGGACTAGCTTTCTCCATTGGTTTGTAACAATTTAAGTACTGTAGATATGGTTGTATAGCCAATAATATGTCTCTGTAGTGTACAGGTGCATCTCAATAAATTAGAATGTTGTGGAAAAGTTCATTTATTTCAGTAATTCAACTCAAATTGTGAAACTCGTGTATTAAATAAATTCAGTGCACACAGACTGAAGTAGTTTAAGTCTTTGGTTCTTTTAATTGTGATGATTTTGGCTCACATTTAACAAAAACCCACCAATTCACTATCTCAACACCTGTATATATAAATTCTATACATCATAATATGTATGTTTATTTTTTCCTGCAGGTGGGCAGATCAGCTTTGATGTGTTTCCAGTGGGTTGGGATAAGCGATACTGTCTGGGAATTGTAGAGAAAGACTCATATCAGCGCATCCATTTCTTTGGAGACAAAACTATGCCTGTGAGCTCAAAAATGGACTACTACAATCTTGACTAGTAGTAGCATTTGTGTATTCATGCATACATGTGCTGCTGCATAAATGTCTCAGACTTGATGGAATTAAGCAGTTTTGTGATTTTTTTTTTTTTTACAAACAGGGCGGAAACGATTATGAAATCTTTGTAGACCCCAGAACAATTGGTCATGAGGTCAAGTCTCCTGAGGACACACAGAGGATCTGCAAGGAGCTCTTCTTCAGCTCTGCCATCCAGAATGAAGTACAGTAGAAGAATGCAATGTCCATGAACTGTGAAATTATGAATAGAAATCTCACTTGACATGTCCAAGCCATTATTGTCTTTGTGTACTTCAATGATTGTACCTCATGACAGGTACTAGATAAACCTGTACATACAGTGTTCATTTTCTATGTAATCTGATATTATTTACAGGTTTAAGGAACTGACTGGTGTTAGCGTCACTGTCTGAACTTCTGTGCCTTTAATCATGTCAGTACTGGAAATATACACTATAAACTCTTTATTTTATTATTAAACACTTTGGTCCAAATGTAAAGACAGATATTCAGTTATGACAGGATGGATTTCATCAAATGTTACTGTACATGTTGTGTTATGTTTTTTTAAATCAGGAGCAGAAGTGATTAATAAGAACAGGTGTAGGCTGGACTTAACTAAAATTAATGGTGAAGGTACTACAATTTAGGTCTAATTTTCATAAGTAGGATTTAAAAATACATCAAGACAAAGGGCTTTATTAACTTCGAATTGATCTATTTTTGTTCAAATTAAACTAATTTAATAGTTAATTCCCTGACAACAACCAATAGTTTTTGCTTGGCAGAGTTAATCTACATGCTGAAGTCAAATAAGTGAATGCAAATGCTGTATAATAAACCGGAAATATATTGATTGGATATGATATTGCTGCACTGTGCCAGTTTATGTATAGTTAACACATATAAGTTCAAAACTGTAAGAACGAGTACTGTATATATTCTGAGCTAAACGCATAAAGGTGTAAAAACAGAGGTTCTTATTTTTATTAGCAACACATTTGAAAAAATAAAATTGCAATTCTCAATGTTCGTAATAACCTACTCGCATTCATTTTAGATTGATGAATAAAAGTATAAACTAAACTGATATTTTCTGTTGTTTTTTGTTACTAATTGCTTTTTGAAACCAAAAATGAACATTTTCACTTGGAAAATATTACATATTTTAAGAATTTTAAGTATAAAAAGTGTTCGATTTGCTACTTAAACTGTCCATTAAATAACCACAAATGTCGATTTTCCAAAAATATATTTCATGGTTTGTACAATATTATTGTTTAAAAGGTATGAATGCATTTTTACCTGAAATAACACTTAATCTGTACAAGCGCTTTTTAAAGTCCATATCAAACCTAAAATGATACAATGCATATCCCAATTTATGATACACAAGACCATATAACCTGACCAAGCCAAACATATGACTACAAGTTCAAACCAAAAGTTTTGAAGATCATCTAATATAAAATATAACAAAAACAGTTTGTTCTCATCCCAAGAGGAAGCAGTGTAGTCCAAAAGTCCTGTATTGCTGGTTAACGAATGGACCGGTATGGAAAGGCCACGGCAGCAGGATGGAAGGCGTGTGGAGAGAGAGAAGCGTGTGCGGCGTGGGCTGTTAGCGCGCGATGTGGGGACAACGCTGGGTGTGTGGGGTGCGGTGACAGTACAGGGTGCGGGCTGTGTGGGGAGGGGAGGGCGGACTGGTGCAGGCTGTGGGGAGAAAGAGCAGAGGGTCGACCCGGGTGGATGTGTGGGTACATGTTGGGCTGGAAGGGTCCGCTGTGAGGTGGAGGCTGCACTACTGGACCGGACATCACAAGCTGTAACAGACTGCAACACAAAACAGACTGTTACTACACAATGCTCACAAATGACCAAAAACTGTAGAAAGTGATTGACTGATGTGGGTTTCTGAATGGTTGATGGGATGTCGATACGTACAGATATATATCATCTACAGTATCGTACATAAATTATATATATTAGGGATGGTAAGAATCACCGTTTCACATCGGTAGGCATATGACGGTATCAAATTTTCACGTTCATGCTTTTATCACGGTATACGGTATTATCATGATATTGGAATTTAGTTGCAAAAAAGTGTTGTCATAATACAGTATAACAGGTTTAATAACTTTTTTCTTATAACAAAAAGAACTGGAAATTTAAATACAATAAAGCAATTCCCAAAAAGTGTATAAAGTAAAAATTTTCACAGATTAAAGTACAAAAGAATTATAAAGACCAATAGGTAACACTTTACAATGAGATCTCATTAGTTAACCTTAATGCACTAACAACGTTCAGATCAAAGCGTAAACGACGTAAACAGCGTATCCGCGTACGGTGCTGCTGACACAGAACAGCATATGTTGTTAGTGCATTAAGGTTAACTAATGAGTTGTTTACTAATACTAATACGTTGTTTACGTATGTGAAATGGCTCTCCAAAATGGCACCAGCGGAGGAGACGAATTGTTGAATAAAGTCGTTATTTTTGTTTTCTTTGCGCGTGTTAGGATCCTTGCTGTCTATGGGAAGGTCAGAGAGCTCTCGGAATTCATCAAAAATATCTTAATTTGTGTTCAGAAGATAAACGAAGGTCTTACGGGTTTGGAACGACATGAGGGTGAGTAATTAGTGACAATTTTCATTTTTGGGTGAACTATTCCTTTAAAATGGTCACAGATCATTCAATATTATTTTAATATTAAAATCTGCATGATCAGGTTTCACGTTTCATGTGATCATTGACTTACTTGTTGTGGGGAAGTCTGGAGCACAAAGTCCGTAGGTCCTCTGAGGGATAAAAGACATGAAAGGAAATGACATCACTGAAATGCTGCTCTATGAACTGCTCTCAGTTCAAAACCCAATCAGGGTTAAGGCTAGAAGGGATACAGCAAAAACTACTGGGCATACGCACATCAATATAGAGTCATTTTTCTCACACTACAACAATAATTACTGTGTTTGCATTATTGTAAGGGGTAGGTGTAGATATTAACAAAACACAATCTAATAGGTAGAAACTTGAATTTATTGTTAGCTTCTGGTTTTTGTTGTATCCCTTCTAGCCACAACCCCCAAACAGGCCATCATGAAGCAAGCATCACTTACCTCTGGCACACAGAAGAGCTCCTGTTGCCATGGCGACCTGAAGAGCTTGCGCCAGCCTATCCAGTGCCAGCTGGACATGATTGGCAGCAGGGAAGGGCGTGAGCTTCTCGCACAGACAGCTGAATTCCTCTACCAGCGTGGCAACAGACTCCACAGGAAGCACAGCTAGCCGACCTATCAAATTCTGTTCTGTCAGGTGGACCTGCAGGAGTTAAAATAAAAACACATTATATATTCTAATATTGAATGGAATCCTTAAAAGCCTCACAAAGTTGCAAGAAATACAACACCTGCAGCATGAGAAAGACTTGAAGAACACTCAGGTGCAGTTTAGAGTACAGCTCTTCATATGCTGTCCCTTTTTCACTTTCTCCATGGCCATTGGTCAAAGCTGACTTGCGGCCTCTCTGATAGGCTAACGGAGCTTTCACACACCACCGGAGCAGACCCAAAAGAGGCGTGATCTCAAGGCAGCCTAATGGCAGGCTGGAATTGAGGGGTGTGTTGATGAAGGTGAGGAGCAGTAGTCTGGGATCTTCTGTGATCCAACCAACCAGCATCTCCAAGAGTGCAGGGGGCGGAGTCAACTCATCTACAAGCAGCAATATCAAACATATTATGTATAACTTTTTTTTTTAGCTTATATTATAAAATGTTTATATAAAATTGTGTCATATTTTATATTAAGACATTTCTATTAAAACATTACACTTTAATATTATAATAACAATATTGTATACATTCAATATTTTAAAATACGCACTATATAATTAATCAAGTAGACTGATATTTATTAATTTTTTTGTGACAAGTTGTTGTGACAAAAAGAAAACTAGTACCTGAGGAGAAATCATAGAGAGCCGTTACTGCAGTGATAAGCTGACAGCAAAAGCGAGGACTGGCTGAACAGATGTTTTGCAGGGTAGAGATGGCACATGGCACCAGTGTGCAGTAATCATCCATCAGCACCTGAGCCAAACGCACGCACCATGCAGAGTGTGTGCGCTACACACACACACACACACACACACACAAAAATGTTTCCAAAAGCTGTCAGATTTAACCCATTTTAGCTTATTAATTAAGACTAATAAATCTTTTTTGTTTTGCATAAAAAGCATATATTAATGACAGTATAACAAATACTACCATGATGTAAAAATACAATACGCAATTTAAAGTATTGAGAAATGTTTGCATTACTGTAATGAAAATTTACGGGGTTAACATGTTCTTGAACAGTGTTGTTATTGTTAATTAAATCTACTGCTATTTAAAAACATTAACTCAAATAAAGCTAAAAAACTTTCTGAAAAATTTTAAATGTTGCCTGTAATTTAAGTACTAAAACTGAAACCAAAATGAAAAAAAACTAAACAGAAACATTTTAAAAAGCACAAAAATACTAAAACTAAACTAAAAAAAATACTGAAAATATAAAAACAAAAGCTAATTATTAAAAATGTAAATTGTTAAAATAATAAAATTAAAAAACATTAAAATAAATACTTTAATAGTACTAAACAATACTAACACTGTTCTTGATCGTTTTTGTGAAACTCACAATAAGCATTCTGATCCAGTTATCTATTAAATTCAGTTAGCATGCTCTAGTCTACAGAAAAAATAAATTACCAGGCAATTATGACATAAAATGAAAGTAAACGCATTAATATCACACACCTGTAGCCAGGTGGCTGCACACTCTAGTATTGGCACCCGACACATGGCTATAGCCATTGAAACTAGCTTCCCAAGCATGGCCATGCAGCTCTCATCAGCCTTGTTGCCTTGAAGACTGAAGAGTGTGGAGAAAATGATCTGTCGGATTGCATCTTTGCTCTGTTCCTGGAAGTAACTGCACATGATCTCCAGCAGTTGCAATTCTTGAACGCAGCTCATCCTCTAGGCCAAATACAACACATAGGTCAAATCAGCATGACTTCTGAAGCATCATGTGACACTGAAGACTGGAGTAATGATGCTGAAAATTCAGCTTTGCAGGAATTAATTACATTTTTAAATATATTACAGTAGAAAACAACTTCAAACAATGAAATGGTATTTACCACCACACAGATTTTTCTTTTAGTCAAACCAGATTGCATACTCCTGTTCCTCACCTTAGGCTGGATGTTCCTGTCTTTAGGGACGTGAAAGATGAACTCCTCCACCAGCTCCACCGTGCTCTTCTCTAGTCCAGGCGTGGGGCCGGTGGAGCTCTGCAGAGCGCTGCCCAGTGAGATGTCCAGATGATACAGAACCTCTTTAGCCGCGCTCAGCGGATCACGCCTCAGCAATGCATGCCGGATATCACTCATCTCTGCTGTGGAGGAGAAACTACAACATCAAATACAAGCAAATGAGAAATATGAAAGACATTAATCAGACATTAACATAAAAAGAACCTAAATATATCATTATATGTGTTATTTCTGGACATGCATCATGGTAATACCTTGTCATTTTGGATTTGCATCACGGTAATACTAGGTTTTTTGAACATGCATTATGGCAATACCACAGATTCTGAAAATTTACCATGTTTTTGAGATAATACTAGAGTAAACCATGGTATATTTTTCTTTCCTAGCGTGTATCCCGTGGTCTCACTGTACAATATTGTGCTATCACTGTACTGATACCGCAATATTTTGCAATATAAGGCGTGTCATATCCAAAACAGTGAAAATAACTAATTGGATTGTATTAAAATACTACTTATCGAATTATGAGTGGGTTAATCGAAAGCTGTCAATCAGTACACACAAATAAGCAACAAAACGCGATTATTCTCTATGGTGACAGTGGCAGTTTACACAGCGCGATTGCTGCATCGCCGGTTTCTTTAAATGTTAAATGTTTCCACGGTTCACAATACATACATATTTATACTTACAACACCCTTACCTGAGTTGATAATTAGACTCGTTACATTAGCTTCTCTCAATCTGCAAATGTATATCGTACATAATTGACAAAGTTGCTCATCAGAAAATAACTACGGAATCCCGTAAAGGACAATGTAGACTCGCTTGCGTGAAGAAAAGCGCGGCTGATCAGCGCCTCCTGCGTACTGGAGATACTGTACTGTACGGTGCATTCAAACTGGACTAATAAGCGTTTTCAGAACAAATGATTCTTGCTTGTATATTTTTTATTTATCTAATTCAATGACATTCAGACATTTTAATTGTGATTCTTGAGTCCACACAACCTCCATTTTAAAGCCATGATATATATGAAAATGAACTAAAAATCGAACTCAAATAATATTTAGTTACCTCCTGATGCAGTTAATTTAGTATTACTATTATAGTTTTTACTAATATTTAGAGTTTGTTTTTATTTTTATATTTTCTATGTTCAGTTTCATTTTAGCTAAACTTTTGTAATTTTTTTTTGTGTGTGTGTGTGTGTGTGTGTGTGTGTGTGTGTGTATTTGTATAATGTCATGGGTAACTTATGTATTACAACATGAAGGTGGTTTATGAGGACACTTTCGGTGTCCCCGTAGGTAATTCAAAAGGTTTATAAATCATACACAGGGCAGTAGCCAGAGTTTTAAAATTACCGAGGTCCCAAATTCATTATTAATTATATGCCTAATATATGATGAAAACGGCTTCGTTAATATTGTTTCTTGTCCCCTCACATTGACAGTTATGAAACATTACATGAATCACGTCAATTCAAAATGGCGAAATTAGACAAGTTTATTAGTTTGCATTCCTCATTATATTTGTCAGTCGTTTAACATTTCTATCGTAAAACAGCTTTCAGATATGAAATGTTTGGCTACTTACATCTTATCCCGCACTAGCCGCTAACTGAAGCGTCGCGTTGAAATTCACTTTATGCGGCTTCTGTGAACAAAGCCCGCCTACTTTGATTTGATTGGTCATCTCAAATATTTGTTGACGTTGACGAGCGGTGACTGTTGAGGCAGCTCAGACGAGGAGGCTTAAATTTAATCTTGGTGCTGTGCAATATCTTTGCAGCAAGAAGATAATGATCTTTAAAAAAGCATCATATGACCCCTTTAATATATTAGGAAATTATCTCACAAAGTCGACTCGGAAAAATACCGAGGTCCGGACCTCGGCGACCTCATAGCTGGCTACGGGTACGGGCATGATCATACAGAATCATTTTTATTTTTGAAAATCTAAAAATGCACAACGTTTTCTGTAAGGAGTAGGTTTAGGTTTAAATACCGTTTGTACAGTATAAACATCATTACGCCTATGGAGAGTCCCCCCCCCTGCCATAAACCATAAAAACCAACGTGTGTGTGTGTGTTTAACTGCATCTGTAATATTTATGTCCCTGTAGATTATTTCTTTTAAGTGGATTTAAATAAATTGTTAAAATGTGTTTTAATTAATCTTTTTTTTTTGTCTTTTTATTAGGCTAGTTTTTTTAAACGGCTATATCGTTATTAGTTTTGGTTATTTTAGTGCATCAAGTTAAACTAAATGAAAATGAGAAATATATATTGTATTTTTTATTTCAATAGCTGAAAAAAATACAAAAGTTCTTATGCATTTAATTTTATTTACATTTACATTACATTTAGTCATTTAGCAGAAGCTGTTATCCAAAGCGACTTACAAATGAGGACAATATATATATATATATATATATATATAGGGTATTAGGGCTGTCATCGTTAAAGCAAAATTACTGACGCACGATTTCTATTCTAACCATTTAGCCCAATTTTGCTTCTCTGCTTGCGGTCAGATCATTTTAAGCCGTTAAACTCCGGGAAAGTTTTCAGGCCAATGATCCAGTAAGCGAATGCATTCAAACAATCCGTCCAAAACAGCTCTAATATAAAGGAAACCAGGCTGATTACATCAGAGACTGCAGAGAGAACAGAGACTCGCGTTGCGTTTTCAGTGAATTATTCATTCCAGTGTTTGGCTTTTAAACACGAGCTGCTCTGCCGGACACCGGCCCTCCAGGACCGAGTTTGGGCACCCCTGGTTTAACTGATTCGTAGTTTCAAAAAGCTAGTGTTAAGTTTTATATATATTTAAATATAAATTATATAATACAATTATATTATAATTATATAATATAAATCTATATATTTAAGATAACGTTTATTTTACTTCAAACAAGTCTAATAACCTTGTAAGCACTTTCTAATAAGTCTAATAAGCCCAATGAGCACCTTTACATTTAATTTATAATATAAATATAATATAATAATTGATCCACTTCAAATGTTGACTACTATATATACATTTTAGCCCTCACACGTTGTGCTGTGTGAAGTACAGACTGAACGGAATGTCAACACATCTCACTGCTGTATGGCCAGATGAGACGCAAACTACGGTTTCTCGACTGGATAACCAGTCTCTCTAGTAAAGTTTTGATGGATGAAGACTGCAATCAATTTCCCCCCCTCTGGTCTACGCATCCCTACCTCTTCTGAATTATTTTTTATCTCCGGTGGGGTTAAGATAACGTTTATTTTACTTCAAACAAGTCTAATAACCTTGTAAGCACTTTCTAATAAGTCTAATAAGCCCAATGAGCACCTTTACATTTAATTTATAATATAAATATAATATAATAATTGATCCACTTCAAATGTTGACTACTATATATACATTTTATATAGTCAACATTTGAAGTGGATCAAAAAAGTTCATCAAAGTTGTCCTAAGACAAGAACGCATTCCGGTTTTAGGTTTTAGGACAACTTTGATGAAAGGTTTTGATCCACTTCAAATGTTGACTAGTGTATATTATGTCAAGGTCTACAATTAACGATTTGAATCAGTCAACACTGGGAGGCGCTATTTTATACCTAATTATGAGTATTTTGTAGTCGGATATAGCGCCACCCCATCGTCTCTCTGACGGGACAGCAGCCTCTCCAGCATCAGTGTGAGGCGAGCATCATCCAGCTCTCTTTAACTTCACATCCAGAACACACGAGCAGCTGTCAACATGACCATCAACACACTCAGTCAGGATGGAGTGCAGCGACAGCAAATGCCCTGTTTGACTAAGGTAAGTCCCTAAAATCGATTTTCATTTAGCTCTAACAATCATAAATCTGCTGTAGAACAGATACTGTCATTTTTGCAAACCAGCCAGAGTTTAATAATCCTGCAGTTGTTGCCTGTAAAACACAGTATAGGAACTTCTCCTCGCATTATTGAAAATGTGTTAAAGACTAAACTAAAGTTTCTGTACTGTAAAGGTTCTGAATTTGCATAGTTGTGTTTGCATTTTCTTAGGCTACTTATATAACTGATTTATATAACTGGAGTTCTTAAAAAATAAATAATCCAACAAATCATCCCACTCTTCCTGTTAAGCTTTTTGTATTGATGCTTTTGCTGTTTTGTAACATTAAATCACCTTATTAATTTATAAAATTTTATATAATGAGAATGTATGAATTGTTATAATTTTGAACTTAATAAATGTAATATTTATTTAGGGGTGCATCCTGTTCTTTTTTTTTAAATCACTTTATTGTGAATAGCCTGAATAGTTGGCAAATAACAGTCTTTTTTTATTCAAGATTAAGGTTTTTATTTGTTTATAGAGGAACTTGTACCTTTTTATATTATTTGTCTTTATGCTATTCACAATTTGAATCACATTTTAGCTTCTGTGCAGTTCACAAAATAGTTGTGATAAATGAATATCTAAAAGTACTAATATTTCACATGTGCCCACATACAGATGGAGCGCATGATCATATCCATGCAGGACCCTGATATGGGCATCAAGTTGCGCAACCAGCGTCTCCTTATTACGGTCATACCACATGCAATGACTGGTGAGTGTCTCTCTCTCTCTCTCTCTCTCTCTCTTTCTCTCTATGACTGCAGCAAACTTCAAGCTTCACTCACTCTCTCTTGATAATCCCAAATGGACACGACTGTTCCTTGTATTTTCCAGCCTCTGACATGTTATGGCACGATTAGAGCGACAGCTGAGGCACGACTAGAATAGTTTCCCACTATTACTGTGGAAATAGTCTGCATTTAACAGCAAAGTATCCATGCGTATCTCAGAAAGTCTTGAGTGCGTATGAGGACAGTAAATCAATAGAAGCTTGCGCAGTGAAATTAGACTCCTGTGTGTGCTTTCAGTCTCTGTGCTCATTTTTCTTGCTATTAATTAGTCTAACAGTGCATGTTTTGCGCCTGCACTTGTCTCTCAGAGGACACCGGGCTATGTGTGAATGAACAAATTACTTTCTTCAGGAAATTAAAGATAAATACAAGTCAAAGTCACTTAAAGTAATAGTTCACCCAAAAATGAAAATTTGCTGAAAATGTACATTATGTCAAGGTCTACAATTAACGATTTGAATCAGTCAACACTGGGAGGCGCTATTTTATACCTAATTATGAGTATTTTGTAGTCGGATATAGCGCCACCCCATCGTCTCTCTGACGGGACAGCAGCCTCTCCAGCATCAGTGTGAGGCGAGCATCATCCAGCTCTCTTTAACTTCACATCCAGAACACACGAGCAGCTGTCAACATGACCATCAACACACTCAGTCAGGATGGAGTGCAGCGACAGCAAATGCCCTGTTTGACTAAGGTAAGTCCCTAAAATCGATTTTCATTTAGCTCTAACAATCATAAATCTGCTGTAGAACAGATACTGTCATTTTTGCAAACCAGCCAGAGTTTAATAATCCTGCAGTTGTTGCCTGTAAAACACAGTATAGGAACTTCTCCTCGCATTATTGAAAATGTGTTAAAGACTAAACTAAAGTTTCTGTACTGTAAAGGTTCTGAATTTGCATAGTTGTGTTTGCATTTTCTTAGGCTACTTATATAACTGATTTATATAACTGGAGTTCTTAAAAAATAAATAATCCAACAAATCATCCCACTCTTCCTGTTAAGCTTTTTGTATTGATGCTTTTGCTGTTTTGTAACATTAAATCACCTTATTAATTTATAAAATTTTATATAATGAGAATGTATGAATTGTTATAATTTTGAACTTAATAAATGTAATATTTATTTAGGGGTGCATCCTGTTCTTTTTTTTTAAATCACTTTATTGTGAATAGCCTGAATAGTTGGCAAATAACAGTCTTTTTTTATTCAAGATTAAGGTTTTTATTTGTTTATAGAGGAACTTGTACCTTTTTATATTATTTGTCTTTATGCTATTCACAATTTGAATCACATTTTAGCTTCTGTGCAGTTCACAAAATAGTTGTGATAAATGAATATCTAAAAGTACTAATATTTCACATGTGCCCACATACAGATGGAGCGCATGATCATATCCATGCAGGACCCTGATATGGGCATCAAGTTGCGCAACCAGCGTCTCCTTATTACGGTCATACCACATGCAATGACTGGTGAGTGTCTCTCTCTCTCTCTCTCTCTCTCTCTTTCTCTCTATGACTGCAGCAAACTTCAAGCTTCACTCACTCTCTCTTGATAATCCCAAATGGACACGACTGTTCCTTGTATTTTCCAGCCTCTGACATGTTATGGCACGATTAGAGCGACAGCTGAGGCACGACTAGAATAGTTTCCCACTATTACTGTGGAAATAGTCTGCATTTAACAGCAAAGTATCCATGCGTATCTCAGAAAGTCTTGAGTGCGTATGAGGACAGTAAATCAATAGAAGCTTGCGCAGTGAAATTAGACTCCTGTGTGTGCTTTCAGTCTCTGTGCTCATTTTTCTTGCTATTAATTAGTCTAACAGTGCATGTTTTGCGCCTGCACTTGTCTCTCAGAGGACACCGGGCTATGTGTGAATGAACAAATTACTTTCTTCAGGAAATTAAAGATAAATACAAGTCAAAGTCACTTAAAGTAATAGTTCACCCAAAAATGAAAATTTGCTGAAAATGTACACACCCTCAGGCCATCAAAAATGTAGATGAGTTTGTTTCTTCATCAAAACAAATTTGGAGAAATTTCGCATTACTTCACTTGCTCACCAATAGATCCTCTGCAGTGAATGGGTGCCGTCAGAATGAGAGTCCAAACAGCTCATAAAAACACCACAATAATACATAACTAATCCACTCAACTCCAGTCCATCAATGAACATCTTGTGCAGCAAAAACCTGTGTGTTTGTGATAAACAAATTCACCATTAAGACATTTTAACTTCAGATCATTGCTTCCAGGTAAAATAAGTTGTCTCGTCTGAAACTGGAGAGAAATATGCATATATCAGGCACTGCTTACAAGCAAAAACAGTCCAAAACAGTTTAAACACAAATATGTTGGTGGATTTTGATGTGAGAGGACAATAGGAGATAGACTTTTTCACTGGAGGAAGCATAATTATAGATTATGAACTCATATTTTGGCCAGTAGTGATGCTGTTTGAACTCTCATTCTATGGCACCCATTCACTGCAGAAGATACATTCTTTTGTCTGACACTGTGCTTATGTTGACAGTAATATTCTTTGATTTCATACAGGTGTAGACATTGTTGAATGGCTGATTAAGAAGTTTTCTATCTCTGATGAAGGTAGGACATTAATATAACCTATAAATATATTTTGATTCTTTGTCTTTGATACATAACATTGGAATTGCACTTGATTGCAACAATGATGATAATTGCTATTTATAGTAAAAGAACAAAGAAGTTGTTATCTTTATTAAACTAAAGTGTCAGCAACTTTTGCATGGACAAGCACAATTCATATTTACTTCAGAAAATGTAACAAGCTATTATTTTACTGTGTGCATAAAAGTAATACATTTAAAATGAATTTTAAAAAGTGCTCATAAACTGCCTTGTAGCTCCAACATGATTTCAGATTTACTGTGTGCATGTCAGAGCCTGTGTGTGTAATAATTTCCATGCTATCTGCTGTGGTGTATTTCTTGGAGTTTTCCAGTCATCTGTGTATGGTTTATAGAAAGTGTTCTCCAGAGATAACATTATTCTCCATGTGCCATCCTGAGGGACTTCAAAACATACACACGCGCACACACGACCACGGGGAGCTAAATTGCATATGAAAGTTGCTTTAAATTAAAGTCAGATTTTATGTAATGTAAGATGAGTTGTGTGCAAGATTTTTAATAATAAATGCACAAATGTCACACTCTCAGAGAACAGGCTGCATGGTTCAGAAAAGCCCTAATAAACAAGTAATGCTGCACACAGCTGTGGCTGGAATAAACAAGACTCCAGAGAGTTTGACAGATCTGTGCACTGCAATGAGGGAACACCTTGTGTAGGCAACCACTAGATGAAATGTATGTATTCTCAAATCATTTACTACTATTTTAGTTAAAGGGAAATGAAAACATGAAAATTCTGACATTATTTACTCACCCTCATGTCCTTCCAAACCCGTATGAGGTTCTTTCTTTTGCTGAACACAACAGAAGATATTTTAAAGAATGTTGGTAACCAAACTGTTGACGGTACCCACTGACTTCCATAGTATGGAAAAAAAATACTATGGAAGTCAATGGCTATACCTTCAACTGTTTGGTTACCAACATTCTTCAAAATATCTTCTTTTGTGCTCAACATAACATAAATAAAACAAAGATTATTTGATGTATGTTGCATGATGTATGAAAATACTATTTCAGTCTTTCTAAATCCAAATTTCATGTTTAACTCAATGTGTTACTTGCCAATTTTTTGTAATTATTTGTAAATAAATTTACTAGCAAATTCTGAGTAAAAATTATTTTCAAGAACAATTCTAAACCAATTTGTATGTAAATCCTTGGTTTTATTTTTAGAATTATTTACTTGATTTATAATTATTTATATTTTTATCTATTTTTTTATTTTTTTTGTACTTGTGTGGGTGTATATTACGCATATGATTTTTTTTTTTTATCTCTATTTATTTGATCTTTTTTCTCATCTTTATTTAGAGGCATTGCACGTTGGACAACTCTTTGTAAAGTATGGATACATTTACCCTTTAAAAGAGCCAAGAAACCTTATTCTGAAAGCTGACGATTCACCATATCGCTTTCAGGTATTTATATATGCACACACAATATTTACATAAAATCCCATGCCATATCAGCAGTTTCTAAATTCCCATTTTCAAAATCAGCACATCTGAATTAATCTCTCTCTTCATCAGACGCCGTATTACTGGATGTCGACACGCTGGCCTACTTCAGAACTAGACTATGGTGAGATCTAACTTCCCATGGTTCAAAACAAAAAAGGATTTACCAAATGTTGTGCCAAACCAAAATACATTTGCTTCAATACAAAAGGAGATATTTCACTGCAGGTTCAGAGGGTAAATATATTATACATGGATTTACTTATATGTGTTTTAGCAATCCACTTGGCCAAGAAGAATATCCGAAAACAAGGAGAACTAATTGAGTATGAAAAGGTATGTAGGTCAAATGCCAGCCACACCATAGAGAAACAAGACTGTACAATGTAGACACGAAGCCATGAAGCCATCTGTTATTCATTTCTCAATCTCTGGCTTTGTTAGGAGTGCTATAATGCTTTACATAAACGTATCAACCACACCTGGGACTTTGTTGTGATGCAGGCAAGAGAGCAGCTCAGGTAACTATCCTTTTCCATTACTAAACGTGCACACACACACACACTTAATGCTCCCTTCGGCCTATTACATTTAGCCCTCTATTGCCTACATTATAAAAGTAGCATATAAAAATGATCAGAAAAGCATTTTCTAGCAAAAAAACAAAAAGAAAAGGACAAAATCACTCAAATCTAAATTACATTTTTGAGTAATTATAAATCATATAAAACATTTGTAAATCGTTTTAAATCAAGTAAATGCTGAAAATACCACCAATAGGTACAACCATGTAAATAAATAATTTTTTTCTAAATATTTAAATATTTGGAGTTAAAAGTGTCTATACATTTTCATTGATGTTAGAATACTAAAACTGGTTTAAACAACAAAAAACAAATGCACGTTTTTTTTTTTTTTTACAATTGACTCAACATAAGCATAATATATTTTTTTTTACTTTAGCCACTTCAAATCTTGGCAAAACAAATTGGCCCCGAGCTTTACTTTTATTAATTTTTATTATAGTTAACTGAAATAAACCACTACTAAATGCTAAAATAAAAGTTAACTGAAACAAAATAAAATATAAAAAACTGAAATGTATTTTATTTCAGTTAGTTGCCCGTGCATAATTTTCACTCATTTTCACTTTACCTTTATGTACTAAAAAAATAAAACATAAAACAGAAATACAATTAATACAAACTCTATACACATATTAAAAAAATAAGCTAATTAAATGACAAAAACCAAAAGAAAATTACCAAGACTTTAATTTAAATTAAGAAGAAAATGGAAAATATAATTTATAATACAACAACAAAAATGGCATGAAAACCGCAAAATTCTCTGTAGTGGCTGCATCATCCACTGTTGCACTATACTCCTTTACAATTTAAGCTATTCTTCACAGCATACAAATAATTTATATAGCTCTAAATGTTTTAAACTCAAGTTTTATGCACTACTAAATATTAATCATATTTTTTGATGGTTGAAAAAAATCAATATAAAATATTTTTCTGATGGTTGTTGTCTAGAGTTTCTTTACGTCTGTGCATTGGCCTTATTATGTTCATTTTCTCGTGTTTAAGGGCATCAAAACAGCGTCGAAAAGCAGATCGTATCGTGCTGGAGTGTCAGGAACAAGCTTACTGGCTAGTGAACAGACCTCCTGTAAGTCTCGAACACTATAAACCCACAACAACGCTAACAAAAAATACCATGGCAATACTTACACCATGGTATTCTTTGAAGTATATTGGAGTACCATCAGGGTTGCCGTCTTTGTTTGTTCATGAATTAAATAAATAGAAAAGTAACATACTGTGTATCACCTTTCAGAAATGTGATATAGAAAATCAAAGCATGTCAAATGCATTAGTCAGTGTATGATGCTTAAGCAGCCACAGCATCTGTGCCCATCTGGCACGTGCCTTCATATCTGTATGCAGCTTCTGCTTATGAAATATTCAGCCAGTCAGTTAAAAGCATCGCAAAGCAGAGGAAAAAGGGGGAAGGGGACAGAGCGAGAGGAGAACAGGAGAAAGGGAGGGCAGATTCTGGCAGAAGAAAAGGAGAAATAGAGTGGAACACATTGGTGCCTTTAAAGCACACTCACACATGAGTGCAAAGGATATATATGGATTGCTTAACATGAGCTTAAGTGTCTTGATGGATGAAATAATAGTATAGTGAACCGGAAGGACTCTGTGTGTGTGTGTGTGTGTGTGTGTGTGTGCTGGTATATCTAATGGTTCCATCTTTTGGCTGAGCGCTTAAGAGGATATTCTATTACTAAGTGACTATGTGTGTTTTAGTGTATGTGTGGCTGTGTGTGTGTGAGACTGACCACTAGTATACAGTGTGTGTCTGTGTGTGTGTGTGTGTGTGTGAGTGTGTGTGTGTGTGTGTGTGTGTGTGAGTGTGTGTGTGTGTGTGTGTGTGTGTGTGTTTGTTATGTCACTCCTGCACTCCTGCAAAAGGCCATTTTAATGAGGAATCCAGCTGATGATTTAATCTGGGGTGGATTTAGAGACCATTTCATTCCTATATTGTCACTGTGTGTGTGTGTGTGTGTGTGTGTGTGTGTGTGTGTGTGTGTGT